TTTTAGCAATCCCCCTCATCATTCTCGGCCGTCGGCTTTGCGCTCCTCCTTGTCGGCAAACGAAATCTCTCGCGTTTTCACTTTAAGAATACAAGTTGTAGTGCGTCGAGCTTCGTTGAATTCGTCGAGAACCGGCGTCGCTGACATGTGACAAGGTTCCAAGGACGCACGAGGCACGTGTCTCTGTCACCAGAGACCAGAGAGTGTCTGTCTCTGTCCGTTCTCGCTTCACCTCTCACGACTGTCCGCGTGATGGGTGCATGCGACCTTGGCCCGGGTTGCGTTTTATTGCCGGGGGTGAACAACAACAAAGCGAAATCCGCACAAAGTCCGCGCCCCCCTTTTTTTAGTAGAGCCTTTGTGGGGTTTGAACCAAGGATCAAGGGAAAGTCCCAAGGCAAGTCCCATCACCCCCCCCCCCCCTTCATGCCGCTCGTAGGAGACCAACCGCGCACACCCCACCTCACCGGCATTTTCGTCTCGTACGTCGCGCTCACAAAACTAGAAGGGGCAGGTGTTGAAGCAACAGAGTAGCCCTCGCAGCAGCCAATCGGGCAGAACCACGCAGCCGGCGCCGCCTGGATGGTAAAGGAGGGGGGGGGGGGGGTCAGACAGGGACGGCCGGGTAGGGCCAAGGGCGGCGTCGGCGGTAGAGAGAGCGACGAGCTAGGCGGCGGCGCGAGCGTGGCCTCTCCAGCAGCAGCTCTAGCAGCCCTCTGGCGGGGGAGGGGGCTCGCGAGTGGACGGCTCTCGGAGGTGTCCGCCGTTTGCAAAGTTGAAGAGGATCTCGAGCGGCAGCGTGCGCGTCATCTCGAGGCGGAGCCTGTGCTCGATCGGGTTCGTCGCCTTAGGCATCCCGCAGATCAGCATCGAGTAGAGGCACTTCCCGCAGCAGCCCGCCTGTTGACAGGGCCGCGTGAGCCTTCGCGCGTCGTCACGCGGCTCGGCGGTGGCGAGTGAGGCGGCCCACCTCGTCGCCCATCTCGCCGACGGTGGTCCGCCGGTCAAAGGGCCGCACCGACCGCTCCGGCTGCACCTGCAGCCCCATCTGGCCCAGCACCTCGTCTGTCGCCTCCACGTAGGGCGGGTTGGCGGCGACGGCGCCCTCGTGCGGTGCCGCCGCGCCCTCGGACGACACCGACACGACGGCGCGCGACCGCACGTCCTCGGAGGAGGCGCTCGCCACGAGCTCGTACTCCCCGCCCTCGACGCGCCTGCGGGGGGACGTGTCGCGGGCGTGTCGCGGGCAGTGTCCCGACCAGCTCGTGCTCGCTCCGTCCCTAGCGCGCCAGCCGCCGGCGCGCGTGTCGTAGAATGCAAAGGCGCGCGCATCGAGGTCCAGCCGCACCGTCTTGGACTCGCCGCGAGGCAGCCACACCTTGCAACGGCACGGCCATCTCGAGGCCATCTCGAGGCCATCTCGAGGCCTTTCGAGGCCATCTCGGGTTCATCTCGAGGTCTCTGCCGGAGCTGGTCCCGACCGAGCTCGACCGATCTCGGAGGATCTCGGCGGATCTCGGCGACAGCTGCCTTGCGAAAGGCGCGCAGCTCTCGCGCCGGCCGATGGACGCCGCCACTCCTGCGGCTGGAGGCGACGTACAGCTGCACGACCTCGCTGCCGTCGCAGCTGCCCGCGTTGCGAAGCTCGAGCGTGAGGGTGAGGACCTGCTGG